CTCTTCATAAATTTTCTTAATACTTCGTTAACTATAACATTTATACAATCTATGATGGATGGACAATATTCCTTATAATTTGTATGCTGTTGTATAATTAAATTTATGTAAATTCATCATTCAATTGATGACGTCAAACGTAAATGCAACGGCATCACAGTAAAAGCATTTGTACAGCATTAAACATAATCTAGCTATAAAGATAAAAACAATTACAATCTCAAAACAACAAAGACGAACTTCAAATAACATACCTATGACTCCGCCGCAGTATAAAGATGGCCATAGCGCCAATAGCGCTGACAACAAACACGGAGGCAGCCACACTGGCCCACAGCTTCCAAGCATTGGAGGGCAGCGGCTCTATAGCCGTGTCAGCCAGCGGGGCCAGCTCGGGGAAGTTACCAGCGTTGCACAGGTCGCCCTGGCAACATGATATGTTGTGGAGACCTGCATGACGCTTGCGGAGGCTGCGGAGAATAATGATAAAAGTTTATACATTGGAATAAAAGTCAAATAGACGGATCCACAAGCAGACAGTAGTGAATTTAGATAATTTAAACTTGTAAATAATTAACAAGTACTAAAGGAAAATTAATAAAGTAATTATGTTTTAGCTGATTTCTTGCTTTTTGACAAAGGACCTGGAGGTCTACTCTGATTCGACGAAAAACGAAGTTTCGGACGAAACTTCGAACATTACCTACCACAATGGCATTTGTTACGAACGAAAAAGGAATGAAACAAACCAGAAATTAGTATGAGATGTACTGTTTGACGTCGATATTTTCGGAACCCTACTCTAATTGTACAATCCGCACGAACGAAAATTCGAGTTTGACAGATTATTCTTCGGACGTTTAATGTCATTTCGACGAAACCAAAATAGTTATCGTTTGATTTTCGTTTGGGTTAAATTTATTGAAAAATGAAGGAAAGTAATTATAAGTCTTCGTTTTATCACGGTTTCTTTGTGTGGGCAACACGTAGGGCACCAAAGGAACTACTTAAATGACGATATAAAATCAATGTACAGTCAGCTCAAATAGTTTGTTAACACGAACCTATATATTTTATATGTCTATGAGAGTTAGTAACATTTAGGGTAATCAAATACTTATTTGAATACCTTATGTATTGTACATAAATGTTTCATGTGTAATGTTTTATTTTAAAACTAATAATACGGCTAGAAAAATTAACTTAAGTATTGCTAATATATATTTTCGCTATTCTTTCACATCTATTAATATAACAATATTTATAGATAAGATAAATTCTTTCAAAAATATATTGTTAATCATCATAACACGAAATAATTTAGTCTCTTCAAATTCTCATGTAGACATTTATAATTTTTAAACTGACTGTACTAATATAATACGAATAAATTTGGTTGTCATTATTTTATACATAAATGTCAATAAATGACAATAAAACAACATTCTAAAACTTTTTAACTTGGTCGTATAATAAATTTCTGAAAGGAGGTTCTTATCCTGTTTAAGATTCTCCATCTTAAACGTTAATATTAAAAGATTATTCATGATTTTCTTGATGATTATGTGTGCTAAGCCATGGCATTATTATTTTAGTAATATAATTACTTAAAATAAAATTATATATTTAATTTTGAATCTAAACCTACTTATTGCATATTTATTTTTCTTCACTTCATTCGTTCATTATAGTTCACGAAAGTTGTCTATGGTTCCGAAAACGTTGTTTGCCGCCGCAAATCAAACGAAACTTCGCAATCGAGAACCGGAGTAGACCTACTGTTTTTAGTTCAACAGAAAGTGTACAGATATTTTTTTTATTGTGGCATAAGTCGGTAAACGAGCAGACGGGTCACCTGATAGTAAGCAATCGGCGTCGCCCATGGACACCTGGAACATCAGAGGCGTCAGAAGTGCGTTACCGGCCTTTTGGGGATTAGGAGTTTGAGGATCGTTGGGGATTCAGGAATTGGGGAGATTGGGGAAGGGGAGGGTAATTGGGCCTCCGGTAACCTCACTCACACGACGAAACACAACACAAGCGTTGCTTCACGTCGGTTTTCTGCTCGGCCGTGATATCACTCCGGTCGAGCCGGCCCATTCGTGCCGAAGCATGGCTCTCCCACACTTAAATTCCATTAATGATATCAAATCTGGTAACGATTGATGATTAGTCCTTTGCTAAGTTTAATTATTTATTAATTCAGTAAAGTGGCTTAGCAAAAATTAAGGCAAAGCCAATCGCGGGTACTGTGTCTTGGCTCACAGATGGCACTAATGTGTACGTCTCGTTTTTCGTCCAATAGGATATCAGGTAGTGTCAAAATATTGGAAGTTGATCTATATTTTTAAGTGTGGGAGAGCCATGCTTTGGCACGCATGGGCCGCCTCGACCGGGCTCATAGAAGACTGACGTGAAACGTGTGTTTCGTTTCCCCAATCATTGAATCCCCAAATTCCTAATCCCAAAAGGCCAGTAACGCACTTGTAACGCCTCTGGTGTTCCAGGTGTTGCGGGCGACGTCGATTGCCAAGTGATTCGTCTGGTCATTTACCGGCTTATCGCATAAAAAAAATTACAGCTGCAATGATTGGACAAAAACCTCTTGTTACATTTGTGCCATCTAGTAACAATAAATGGTAGCCCCCATTCAAACAACCTATCTGCCATCAAGTTTGCCTGAAAACTACAGCAAATACATATACTGAAAACATCACATACCTCTGCTGCGGAGTATTAGTCCTACAAGTGAACTGATAGTGATCCCTCTGTGTGGAGCACCCGCGCGAGTGTCTCAGCTCACCATCGGACGCGCGCACTGACGACTTGAAGCAGTACAGCGCGTCGTGACATATCTCTTCTTTTGATGATCCACATTCTGGAGGCTCACATTGGTGGCATTTGTACCTGAGAGGTAAAATTGGCGTTACGATGATTGTTTCGTTTGGACTGATGAATCAAATGGCCTCAACTGCCATGCTAAGTTTCTTGGGTGTTCATGCAAAGTAGTTATTATTGAAGACTTTTCATTTGTTATCCTTTTCGGAAAATAAAAATTTTATGAATGAATATTCATAAGTAAGTAGATTGTCTAGCAATCAGTACACATAACAATATAAGGAAAAATATAAACAAAATGAAATCTCATTCACAACAATAATTAAAACAAAACTTTATTCGCAGCGGAACAAACATGCTAAACTCGATAACACACAGATAGATAAATAATATGTGACCAATGATAAAGCCCATTCATGCCGTGATTCATCCATAGATATTGTTATCAAACCTATTTTATGAATGGAACATACTGGCCAGTAACACATACAGCATTATAATTACCTTTTTTGAAATTTCCTTCTCCTTGATAGCATTGGGAATAGACAATAGATGTTAAATATTAATTTTTAAATACAATAAAATTCTGGTTTTGTAATAAATAATCATTTATATGGATTAATTCATGACGATTTACGCATTAACTAGTATCTAAATATAATATCAAGGTTAGGATGAGGAATGAGTGCTAAATATTAGTATTTCTAATCAAATACAGGCACCTATTTATTTATACTTACATAGTTAGTGTAATGCAATAATTCTAATGAATTGGGTAATGGTACATAATATTAATAGTTAAAGATTGATTACAATAAAAAGTAGGGCATTATATTTTTTCTAGCTGAAAACTTACTTGGGGAGAGTTGAATGACGATTTTAGAGAGAATCTCCCTTTTAGGTGCAATTTTTTTTTTTAATTTGGTAATATTATTTTTATTGAATTAGGCATCATATCTAGTTAATATAGTTTATATCGAGTAGATTTTACCTTGGCTGCTGTACCATCATCTTTTCAATTGCGATCGGGTCATCATTATGCTGTGATTCAGGCTCCTGTGTGCTGCCTGACACCTCATCTTCGTCCAAGCCAGGTAGCCCTGCTGTAATCATCATTATATCATTGTTAAAACCTCTCATACATTATTTTATTATGACCATCTGATTTTGTTAGTGTTATTGTAAAATCTACAGTTGTATACTTAAAGTTCGAAGTTACTTTGTCTGCTAATTAAGACAAGTGAGTTTTCAGTCATGGACCAGACTACTATCACGTTGAAATTCCGTATTGAATAGCTGTTCTAGTTTAGGCCTTCGCAATCGTATTTACGTGAATGGACATCTCTTATTATCGTCACCGTATTCACTTATAAATTAATTATTCAAGTAGCACCACAGATTTAACACTATGCACTACAAATAAACACATGTTTAGATAGGGCTTTATTAAATTCTATAGAAAAACAATAATAGAAAAACTGTAACACGGAAGCCACCACAAATTTCACTTTTACACACGTTTGTGAAGTTTCAGACTTTTATAATTTAGTATAACACTTGTATCTATTATCAGGTATTGAAATATTTGTAAAATCTTACCACAGCAAGCATTTATCAATAGAAATGTGAATAAATATCGTAATATGACAACGTCCGCCATTCTTCATTCATCATAACAATACACTACTGAAGTCAAATGGACGTCTTTATAACTAACGTGTAATTTTAAGACACGAGTCTAATGTAATAAGTATATGTATATAAAAATAATTTAAAATTTTATACAATAATTTGTTAAATATCAGTCATAATATGTTCATTTCAATTTAACAGTACAGAAAATAATGCAAGTTCACTTCCTTTACGAAGTCTTGACATCCTGTTTGAAGTTTCCGAACGATATTATTCTACGAGCTAAATAGTTCGCGGTACTGAACGGTAGTTTATATTCGGATACATAACTATAATAAGATTAGTTGCCAAAATATTACAAGCATAAATAAAACTTTTAATAAAATCGTGTGATTTAAATCTATTTTTTTATGCTAAAGGAGTGTAATAAAAAAAATATTAATTGTTGGTTTCTACTTCTATGTGCACTCTTTTGACAATTAAATTTCATGAATGTATCCGATCACTTCTTTCATTTAAAAAATGGCCGTTTGTGTTTTGTTTTAGTTTCACGTTTGAATTTTCTTTAAAGTTTTTATTTTAAAATAATTAGTTTTGATGCAATAGACTACGTTAACCGGGTCTAAACAGTAGTGCAACCTTAAGAACTGTGTTATTAAGTTGTATATATCCTTGATTAATTAAAAATGCCACGGACAAAAAGGCCAGTAAGGAAACAGGAAAAAACCGCTGAAGACGACGATGCCTTGAAAAAACTGAACAAATTGGGTGAGTTTTTGTTAATTTTAACTACACAATCGTTGCTCTAATTCATGATTAGGAGATAAACATAAAAATCATACATAGAACAGTACTCACGAATCCTTTTACCTACTTTGTTTACAAAGTAATAGGTATTCACTGTCACTTCTTATTAAAAGCGACTTGATGATTTACTGGCCCTACATAATTAGTTTTTACATTTATAAGTAAAGTCCGCTTACTACAACTGTTTCATTTAACATTTACACTCAAAATTTCCAAAATTTTGAGTTCTAACTTTGAAATATCATTTTCAGTCACAGACCAGAAGAATAAGATAGATTCCCGCGCTCACATGGAGCTGCGGAATGTGGAGCTTGCCTTTAAGATACTTCTTGGATCTATCAGCAATGTATACCTGCAGAAAACTGTTGGACAGCTGGTAAGCAAATTCTTAAATGTAATATTTTTACAGTTCCTTTTTACTAATTCTTAATGTATAACTGATTGATACTGTAATTAAATGTTACATTGTATAGTGGCATTGCCGTGCCGTAATGTGTACCTCTGCAGGGGGCTCTTAGCCTTGTAGCCTGTAGGCAGTGGTGTAACTACGGGGTGGTAAGTCGGCAAAATGCCATGGGCCCCCAGCCGAAAGGGGCCTCCGTCCAGGGTCATATCTGAACTTTTCAGTTTTAGGTTTTTGCCATCTGATGAACTTGCCACGGGCCTCGAATAGTATGCTTATGCCACTGCCTGAAGGGGTAGCCCTTCGGGGATTAAAGGTGTGCTGTCCTTTCATTGTAACTTATGTTTTTGTTATTGCCATGTTTATTAACCATGTTTAATAATATGCTTTATCAACAGAACACTTGTTATTTACTGATATTAAGTGATATTTACAGAAGTTGAAAATCGAACTGTTGAATACCCAATGTTGTACTTAAAAATACTTTAGTTTTTATGATCATATTTAAGCACTGAATGTAACATAATACTAAATTAACTAATAATCGCAGGTTACTCACATATAAATACTAGTAGAGCTTTTCTCAGTATATTCATGTGAGTAACCCGCCGTTTTTATACTTAAATGTCTTATATTGGGGAAGGCTTACATTTACCAGTGTACGTCTCGTGGCTGATATAATTTATTTAGTTAGGCTTCATGCAAAAAGTGTACCTTAGGTGCCGCAGCATTTTCTCCCAGTTTACACAGATGATCATAATTTCACAGAAATCAGAATTACACCTAAAAGAAGTTCCAACAAACACAAGGAGGACTCGTCATTCTAGCCGCTCTGCTTCACATGACGATGGTAAAGTATCATTCAATAATATTTATCTTAAATCATGGATCATGGGTACTTAATATCATCATATGATTTCTGTAAACATAATTCCTTAACTTGGGAAAGAAATTCCGTGACCTTACTAATAATGGGCACTAGTTACTGATGTTATTAGTTACATTACAAGTCGGTAAATGTAACTTATTGAAGGTTTTGTCATTATTTTTGTCAATCATTCTGTTATTTGTCCGTAGTATTAATTGTAGTGTAATTTACTGTAAATAGTGCTGTTAGAGTAGATGAATAGAAAAATATCTTTTAGACTTTAGTTGCCTGTTATAGACTAAAATTCTGTACGCTACATAAACCACATTACATCTCTTCATTATGTCACAAAAACTTCTATTAAAAACTATCTTTAACAAAGACTATTTTTGTAAAACAAATTAAACAAAAAAAAAACGAATAATACAAAAATTGTCTTTGGCAAACACTATTTTTGTGAAAAAAGCTAAACAACTTTATAAAAAAAAAACACCGAAATAATAAATCTTCTTTAGCACCTTGCATTTATTTACATAAACTTTTATCTTTGAAATTTTCTTCTGAAACACCATATTTTCAAAACACCAACTTTAATAAAAACTTTAAAGAACATTCTGATACTCATTAAATTAACAAATCCATCAAAGATCACAAATCATACTCAAAATACTCTTCAATCAATACTTTATTCAGTCTTTCATTGGTCTTTGGCCATGAACTAACCCCCAACCATATTTCCACTAACTGGGAGCTTCCTTGGGGCAGGGTATCTGACGGAGAACTCTTCGCAGAGCTCCGGCGGCCGCAGCAAGAGGCAAATACGTGAGTACCATGCTTTTATACTGCTACAGGTCTTGTTTGGTCTGGCTTTACTAAGAGGTTGGTAGGTTTAGGCAAAGAAACTAGAAAAGGATGTGAAATAGGGTAGTTGCCAGGGTAATAAAATACAAAATCTAATTAGTCCGTTAGTTAGATTAAAGTTAGAAAAAATATTGGACACGTATTTTTTTTATTTTCTCGGTTGTTACGTCACAACGTGCTACAAAATGAAGCACGCTGTGACGTCACACGGCATTTCAAATTAGTATATCGTCGAAAGTATTTACTTTGTTTAGAAAAGAAAAAATACGTGTCTAATGTTTTAATTTATTCTACCAGACGGACATTAGAATAAAATTAAGGAAATTACCCTATTCTACATGCAACTACTACTTAAATGTAGTTAAATGAAAAAAGAGTGCATATATTTTACATCAACACACTCTTGGCATTATGTTAAGTATTGTTTTCCTAATTTTGATTTGTTAAACAAATGCAATGCAAATAATGATCCTTTTATTCTAACACCTACCCTTAAAAAGTAAAGCAAGGCTGAACACCTAGTTGTAGCTTTCATATCTTGGATTCTGTATTTTTATTATCTTTCATCATAATCTCTTATTTCCTGTATGTAACTAGATTTAAACACTGTTATTGAATAAAATTCATTCATTCATTTTATCTAGCAAAATCATCAGTATTAACGTATCATTATTTAATTTAAAAAGTAATTACGGTTATTGTTAAACTGTCAAACACCAAGCGGTCACCGGTGACCGCAACCTATTGTTCTATAATTGTGTCTATAATGACGGTACTCGACGAGTTAAACCAATAAGTTGTATTATTAGAAATATTTTACAAAATCATCGTCGCGTCTATTCCAGCGGTCCCCACAACAGTAGGTAGATCAACGACAGGTCGGTCGACGGCGACCGCGCGCCGCTCCCGCTCGGCCGACGCGTCGTGCCGCAAGCTGCCGCCGCCCACCGCCAACAAGACTGTACAGCGACGTCGCTCGCGGTCCGTCTACCGCACGCCCGCTTATAATAAGAATGCTGCCGTCAACTATCCTGCTATTACGCCAAAGGTAAGAGATTTGTGATTTTAATACCATCAGATAATTATTATTATAGCACATAAACATAACATCACGCCTTTTTATCCCCGAAGGGGTAGGCAGAGGTGCACATTTCGGCACTTAATGCCACTGTACAATGTAACACCCACTTTTCACTATTTATGCTATGAGTCCCATGTAATAGGGGGTGAGCCTATTGCCATATACCGGGCAAATTTCCAGACTCCGTGCTACTACTGAGATTTTTAAAAACCCAGTAATACTTTGTCCGACCCGGAATCGAATCCGAGACCACTTGCCCGGCAGTCGCACTTGCGACCACTCTGCCAACGAGGCAGTCTAACATAAAAGCATAACAAATATATACCCAAGTATTTATTATCTTTAATGTGGCCCCACACAAAAACTTTCTCTAGTGTCGATGAGAGCGTTTACAATTATATAAGTTCATATACACATCACACTCAAACCAAGAACAACAATTTCTGGATCACACTAAGAGTAGACTTACATGTAGAAATCTTGATTTACTGGATGATGGCTTGATGGAAATACTGTGTAAACTAACTTCATTTCTTTTAAACCAACTACATAGTCCTTTGTTTGTCCCTTCCAGGTGACCCCTCAAACTCCTCTAACAGTGCTGCGTCAGCCGCGACAGGGAGAGATGGTGGTGTCCATGTCCGGCTCGCCCGTCATGGTGCCCACTTGTTACACGTAAGTATATTTACCAAGAAAACTCCTTAAAATTATAGGTTTACCTTTTTAGACTCAGTAGCTATTATTAACTGTACTCATTGTTTTATGTCAAACTATCAAGTTTATTTACGTAACTATTTGACGAGGTAACTTGACTAGTTTCAAGCCACCTTAGGGGTTTATATTCATGAGCAGCATTATACGCACACGGAGCGTCAAACTTCGCGAGACTAAGCCAGACTGAGTTAATTTTGCCATTACATACATTTATTGACTATTTCTCTTTCCAGAATGAAACCCGACGAGATGGCGAACTGCAACATCCTCCTACAGGACGGCACGATGCTCTCCCTCCAGCCTAAACAGTTGCGCCAGTCGCAAGCATACATTCCATTCTCTCTAATGGACTCCAATGTACTCAACCAACTGAAAACACTCAAAGATAACCTTGACAAAGTGGTCAAACTTGGAGAAAAGGCTATTAAATAAGGTTACCCAACCATTGGGAAAATTCTCAGTACCTAGGAATATTATTGCCCGATGCCCAGGCGTTGGGAAAATTCCCATTGTTACCTACAGTACACGGCGATGATTATTGCACATTGACTTTTAGAGCAGACAATTTTGTCTGATATTAGATACGAACAAATATTTATATGAAACTTTATTTTTCAATCCTTTATGATTCGACGAAAGTGATCGACTAGTTTCAGCCATTGATATAAAATATGATTCTACATGATTATCTATGGGTAGAATTTAAGATATATCTCGATGGTAAATTAAATATATACTGTTGTTTCTTTTTTACCTACGTCTCTTTGCCTGAATAGAAAGAGACAACACATCATTGTTATTTTGGAAATAATTTTGTGACGTCATCAAAATACCTACTGGTTCCGAATTCATTAATTACACGGCACTGTTATCAGTGCATGTCAGTGGTAGATCAGCCCTCGAAAGCGATGGTTTCCGATATCCCTTTTCGAATATTTAGTAGAATTCGTGTTGATCTTGTATGAGATAAAAGAATAGAGGGAAAGTTAATGAGGAGAACGATGCCCCAGTGTAGTGTTATTGGATGTATCACCAAAACTATAACTATACCGCCAGGTGTAACATTACGTCGATAAGTATTGTTATATCTCATTAAAATTGGTTTTTTAAACTCTTAAAAGTGCGTTTGCTGCAAATAGACTCAATACAATTTATTTTATGAATACTTTGATAGTTTGAAACATTTTTATGGTTCAACACCCAAAAATTACCTAACCTTAAATAAATGTTGACCTGTTGATGAAAAGTGTGTATCGTGAATGTAAAAAGTTAATAATATTTTTTGAACTAATAGACGTTTTACGATACAAATAATTATAGTAGTAAAAATATCGATACTTTTCTACTGTGTCAAAAGTCACATTCCTAGTGCAAAGCTCTGGGAAGTGTAGGTAGGCACGTTTTTAGTAAGTACGCCTTTCTTGATGTCAATACAATGTTCAATGCTTTCAGCCGTTTGCTATCGTGGTATATGCTACTTGGGCTGATTGCCTCTTTCCAAAGGTTGTTGTGCAATATTTATGGCCAGGTATACTTGGTTTTTATTCCTAGGTGAAAACTCCTATTCAGTGATACTGATAATACTGGGTTTATACAAATTGAGAATACTTTGTCCAGTATTTACTAGTGTAATCCAGTTTCTGGGAAGTTCCCATTGAGTGGTTATATCTATAGGAATTATTAGTTTTTATGAGTGTGAATGTTTTATTGTTTATGAATTAATTCTTAATGTTATGGCTGACTTGTGTATAATTGTGTACTTTTTATTAGTGAATTTAGTATTAAATCTTGACTTTTGACAATATTTAATTTTATTTTGTACTAATAGTAATAATTCGTTTCAGTTTTTCAAATAAATAATGCATTTTATTTGTCAAACACAATTTTTAGAAATCTACACACACAACACACCAACCTAAATCAATATCAAACGTTTAACATTAAAATACTTTTGTAACTGTATTTTAATACGATTGTCACCTTTATTAGTATGTAATAAGGCACATAATCAAGAAATCTTGCACATGCAGTAGGACCATTTCACAAGTAACAAAATTATTACCGATGGTGCAAAAAAATACATCGAGAAAGAAAAAATAGAGCGCAATGTTGTGCATACTCAATTCTACTGAACATATCCGCTCTTGGTGAGCGTCTGTTCCACTTCTTTGACATACTTCTCTGCCACCTTCTGGCTGCGCATTGTGGCCACCTGGAGAAGAAAATTATGTCAACAACGCAGTTCTTGTATTACCAGATTCTTAAAACCCCCAAATGTCCGCCAACGCACTTGTAACTCATGGTGTTACGTGTATCCATGGGCGCTAATTGCTTACCATCAGGTGGTCAATCAGCTCGAATTTAATTTCGCCTACCTTCTCCTTGATGACGGCCTTCTCGTATTTCTCCTGCTGTTCTTGTTCCATGCGCAGCGCCACGCCCTCATTGTGGATCTTCTCGCGAAGGTCAGCCCTGTTATGCATTACAACTAGTATTTATTTTACGGATTGCGATATACAACTTTTTACGCTTGGGCTCTTTGATTACGGAAATCTAAAAATTCATAGAAATGGAGAGAACCTAATATTTGTTACTAAGGTACCGTAAAATGGGGTGAATAGGGACAGAAGAGGGGTAAAAGATATAAGGAAATCTTTATTGTATCGATTCACCCCTCTTCTGTTCCATTTCGCCGCTCAAACCTTCTATTCACCCCATTTTACCGATTAACATTGTACAGACGTACAGTGGCATTAAGTGTCGTAATGTGCACCTCTGCCTACCCCTTCGGGGATAAAAGGCGTTATGTTATGTGGATGTGAATTGGTAACTATTCAGATTGGGGACTATTTTGTCGCTCGTGCAATAATACAATGCAAATAATTGGCAATTTAACATTATGTAGTCTTGTAAAGTTTACCTGGCACGTTCTTTATCGTTGATCTGCTTCATGATGGCTTGCCGATGTCGCTCAATTTGAGCCTTGCGCTTGTCATCCAGCTAGGAAACAATATGAGATTTATAGTCTACTGACTCCCAAAGTTATCTGGACTACGGCCTATCTAAATCAAGTTACCAATATGAAAAATAAAATACAGAGAGCAAGGCCCACAAAAAATTCGCTTGGGACCCACAAATGGGTTGCGACTCATAGTTTATGAAACCCTGATATAATCGATGTTAGTTGCTATATAACTCTTTGAATGTTAAAGAATCCGCATCGTTTCACCAATCACCACAATATGTGTCTTATTTATTTATTATCTAAGCAAATTGACATTGTTACCTCCTTCTCCTTTCGTATGAACTCTTCATTCTGGCGCGCTGCGTTGTTGAAGCTCTGTTCGTCTTTAGCTATCTCACGAGCGATGAGACGGTGGATGTCGTTGATCTGTAATCGAACAAAACAAAACGAACTTTTAGTAGGAACTAAACAAATTCTGGACTTTTGAGCATATCTCTTAGTCCCGATCGGTCAATTTTAGATCTATAATCTTTCAGATTTCAATATCAAAACTAAATAAAATGTAAAACTAAATGAAACTAACTAAATATATTTTTTAATGGCATAGGTAAGCCGGTAAACGAGCAGATGGATCACCTGATAGTAAGCAATCGGCGTCGCCCATGGACACCTGAAACACCAGAGGCGTTACAAATGCGGAACCGGCCTTTTGGGGATTACGAGTTTGAGGATCGTTGGGTATTTAGGAATTGGGGAGATTGGGGAAGGGGAGGGTAATTGGGCCTCCGGTAACCCCACTCACACGACGAAACACAACGCAAGCGTTGCTTCACGTCGGTTTTCTGCGAGGCCGTGGTATCACTCCGGTCGAGCCGGCCCATTCGTGCCGAAGCATGGCTCTCTCACACTTAAATTGTCATGAAACTTCTCACTTTCAACAACATCTAATCATAGGTAGGCAGTTTTATCAGTCCATTGGATTAGTTTTTCTTCCTTTCTTCTTCTAGGCTCTCGACTCGACTGATACTATTTTGAAGTGATAGCTCCTTTGGTATGGCGAGTATCCATGGCCGTGATCATTCAGGTGATCCGTCTGTCTGTCCCAAATCCAGTAAAAAGTGTAGGTATAAGGTAAGGTTTGTTTACCTGTTGCACCCTAGCTTCATGCAGCTGCTTCATCTCCTTGTTCCTCTTGATGGCCGCGTCCCTCTCTTTGCGTCGGTACTCTCGCTCCACATCCTCCTGTATCTTCAAGTTGCGAATGCGTTCCAATTCCTCCTTCAGCTCTTGTTCAGCCTGATGAAGTGATGACGAATAAGAATATAGGGCATTACATCTATGATAATACGATCTCCAACTTAATCACAAAAGTAGAAGTTTCCAAATCGATTAAATAACTCGAGAGTCCAGACTTTCAGGGCTTACCTTCTGAGCCTTTGAGATATGATCAATGCCCTTCTGCTTAGCCGCTTTAACGGCCTCCGCTTCTGCCTTGTTCTTGGATTCTCGTTCTTGTTTCTGTTTTAGGAAGTTTGCAATTCGCAAATCCATGATGCGTTCTTCTTCATTCTGAAGCTGTTTGTAGTAGAGCAGCTCCGCGTTGCCTGAGTATGATAATCTTTCATAAATTTGAGATGGAAATGTCCACAATGAGGCTAAACCTTACTACTGTCACTATACGGTTCAAAATAAGGTAAATAAGTGTAAAATAGATATAACAAAATAACCAATTATTATAGTTACTTCTAATGCCATCTAGTGTCACTTATGTTAGTTAACAAGCATTAGAGTGAACTGACCGAATGAACGGCTGAGTAATGTTCAAATATAAAAAGAATAAAGTTCAGTTGATTGAAAACCAGCATAGCGTTTTATTAATAAGCATCAGCGCAAAACTCGTATGATTAAGTTACCCTGATCGAGCATTTCTTTCAATTTATTCTGCCTGTGTTGTTTCTCCTTCAGCTTCTGGGCCTCATCTATTTGCATCGCGATGTTGGCCTGGTTCACACGGATACTTTCCTCTTCTATACGTTCAGCTTCCATTATCTGTAGAATATGAAAAGAAATAAACATTTCTTAGCTAAGAAGTTAGCCACATTAGAGTCTTTTTAAATAAAAATGTGGTGTATCTACTTTGGCTGTTGTAAATTACCTTGGCGGTTTCATGTGCTTGGATCTGCTCTTTGAGTGCGGAGAGGTTCTGCAGCCGCAGTCGATGACGACGGTCTTCTTCCTCTTGTTCTCTGTTTACAGCGCTTTGGCGGTTCTCTTCCATTATAGCGTCCAATCTAGTGAAAAAAAAAGTAGCAAGGATTATAGTACCTAAGTAGTAGCGTTTGCACTCGTTAACTTGTCAGCACCAGTGCACTACTGTCCAATAAATGTAAAGCAGATTAAGCAACTACAGTTTATAAAGACCGGCCTGTCATGTAAACAGACGGGTGTGTTGATATCGATGATGATGATGACGAGTTCTTCAAAATACCTACCTTCTTTGTTCATCATCGAGTTCTTTCTTGATGAGTTCTTTCTCAGTGATCTGTGCATCTCTGATGGCATGACACTTGGAGGCCAGGATGATGCGGTTGCAGAGACGAGGACCCTGCATATTGTCAGCTCGCAGCACTGGATAACAGATAATAATAAATAAAGGCGCGAGAGTAGCTAATAAAAAATATTAACGTCGGTATTCATGCAAGACCTCATATCTAACTTTAAGAATACTTTGTTTTATTGATAGCCCTTACTCTCAGCTCTAGACAAGGTATGAGCAGCCTGGTCTGGTCCCTCAAGCTCAGGGTCGGCAGTGCCGGTAGCAGCTTCAGCCCCTGGTTGTGGCTTGAGGTTCTTCTTCAGTTGCCGTTTCCTGGCCTCCGATTCCTTGGCGGCTTTTTGTATGGCAGCCTCTTGAGCGTGCATGGCTTTTAACTGTTCCTCTTGGGAAACGATCTAAAAAGATAAATTACGATGTGTTGTTCCCTATTTTTTATATATTTAATAGAATGGCGTCTTCAAGTCCCGATTGAACCGGTTGCTTATAGGTAAGCGTGCTCTATCGTTGGCCACACTATCGCTTACCACCAGGCGAGAAAAAAAAACGAGAAATACCTAACTCAGTTTTCCAACTGCGGAATTCTCAGTGGACGATGATTCGCTAATTTAATATCAGGTGTTTCGAACTGACGAAAATTATGTGGACTAACCTTTATATTTTTGGAAAAAATAATCTATATTTTGTAATGGTTTATGTAGTATCGTAATACTTATTACTTATGTAGATAGAATGTTCACCTTAGCTTGTTTCCTCAACCTGTCATACTCGTTTTTGTGCATAATGGCGGGGTAAAAGTTGGGCTTCTTCTTTGGGATAAGCAGTTTTCTAAAGGTGCCTGTTTGCGGGATCATAATGATCTCCTTGTCCATATCCTCGCATTTGTGAATCGGCCGCTTGCTGATCGGGAACTTGAGCCGACATTGCGATGGCCTGAAGATGGAAATGTATTGTGTTATGAGTAGGGCAATCAATTGAGGAACGGGGCCAATATTTAAATTATAGCAACTGTTGTTGCAAATTTCAATATAATTTCAAAATGAAATTATATAACATTCTGATAAAAAGATGTTGCGGCCTCTGCTTACCCCTCAAGGGATAAAGTTAAATAATTTACCTATGTAATTGATAGCATCCGGGTTCTTCGCCGTATTGGACAGTATGGTACGGTATGCCCTCGTGCAGGCTCTTATAAACTTTAGGCATTGTAAAATAATAGAAAATTAAATTAAATAGTACGCAAACGTTTATTTACGAAGGAACTTCAATTCTTTTGATTCGTTGCTTCGCAACAGACTTTTGTTTGTTTGTTGCGATGTGAAGTATGATCAATGAGGATTGTTTCATTGTAGTATCACATCTTTTATATTCTATTTGTATTTTTAAATGGCGACTTGATAGGATTTAACAAAGATGAAATAAAAATACATTTTCATATCGACATCGTAATTATTTATTTTTCCAAAAAGTAAAGCTAAGTGGACCACAAACAATTTTCATTTATGGTAATTTTTAGCTGTCAGTCACCAATTGAGAAAAGTCTTTAGACAGGTGTCAAAATGACAGATTACAGATTCAGACAGAATGAGCGTCACAGTGCTTCGTAGAACCCGGGAATTTGAAATAAAATAATTAATTTCACAAAAATGCCACAATTTATAATCCTCGACGAAAATGTTCTCACACATTGTTCGAAGTGATAACAATAATCGGAGTAATAAATCAACATAATTGCTCTAAATGACTTGTTTGTTTTCGTGAACTTGCATTTTGAGGTTATTTCATGATAAATTTACATAACTTTACATTTCTTATTAGTTTTAAATTAAATTGTTAATATGGAGCAGAAGAGTAAACCGAAATCTTTTAAAGCTACGCATTTTCCACCATTATTGGTTAGTATGGAAACTTTTGACAGTTGAAATCAGTTTAATATTTTTATTTAGAGTGTGTAAAATTAATAATTGATTGTTTTAGGCGGGGGCTGTGGCTGGTGTGTCTGTAGATGTGACCCTGTACCCTCTAGATACATTAAAGACACGGCTACAAAGTGCTCAGGGCTTCCAAAAAGCTGGCGGCTTCAGTGGTGTTTATAGAGGTTTGTTACAATTCATATCTATAAAATGCTGTATTAAAAAGTTATAAATTAATCCATTATATATGTCTGTGGGAAAATTCCCATTCTTTGTTTCTAGAAGTTAGTAATTGCAGATAAGGACATTAATATTTCTTACACAATATATTGGACCTGTTGCATGGTCATATCATTATTATAGTAGATGATGAAATTCAATTATTAAAATTATATTTAATAAGAAATAGTCATGAAATATTATTTAAAAAAGAGCTAAACATTTAAGTAGTGAATTGCAAAATGCAATTGAATAATTAATAAATAAATAAATAAATTAAAAATAATAATTAATTACATATTATAATTAAGTTCATGTATAAAATTCACATGAATGTAACTATATATTTAATGAAATATAAATGCTGAAAAATTAACATGATATATCTGAAAAACTTACAAAGAAAATTAAATCTAAAGAATTCAGATGGACATATATTTATTTTTATTTTTGTTATTGAACTAAAGATTTGATTAAATGTAAGAATAATTGATGAAAATTTATAAATGCTCACTGCGGAACAAAGGGCTCTTGTCACACGGTTTGAGCATTAATCACCACTTCTGGTCAAAAAGGGTTTACAATTTCAAATGATTAATAAGAAATAATTAATAAGCCCAGGTTTTTTTAACTGTACTCCCATCTTAAAATTCACACTCCATACATTTCAGGTCTGGCAACCGTAGCTGCGACATCTATGCCCACAACAGCACTATTCTTTGTCTCATATGAAGCTACGAAGCGTCTCTGTCAGCCCCTGGTCGCCACGCAGTATACTCCAATGGTACACATGTTCGCAGCCAGTGTTGGTGAAGTGGTGAGTCAAATTATTGTATTTTAATTATGTTTTCTGTCTTCTTTTTTGTGTTTACAATTTTATCGTGTAAATTTTTACATAGATTGTATATTCAATTGGTCACTCAATAAAAAAATGTTCTTGTGCAATTATCAGGTTCATGTACCATTATTGTAACAGTTAGGTTAAAATCAATCCGACTAATCAGGGCCGGACTTGGGCGCAGGGGCCCGGGTGGCATAGATACGCTTTTGTTACTTGTCAAAGTTTCATGTGCGAAGGGGTTAATTGTAAATTACAATAACCGATTTCTATCCAAAATCTTAATTTAAGTCTCAAAATAATATCAATTTTAGAAGTTTTCTATACAATTTCTATCATAAAATCAGGATCGAATTCTAATTTATTTTTTCGGTTAGATGACTTGCAAATATGTCCCTGTTCTCACGTGACACGATGACTAGTACTGTCCACAATGATTGATCATTGTCTTGTATATTCAGTTGCTTAGCACATTCAATGTACAAATTAGCATACTGTGTGTGCCAATTAATTATACTGAAATCATATTAGGTACTTAAACTGTCAAACACCAAGCGGTCACCGGTGACCGCAACCTATTGTTCTATAATTGTGTCTACAAAACCGGTACTCGACGAGTTAAGTAATTATGTCTGAACTCTGAATGTCTTGATCTCTGTCTACTCGGGCTAAATATTTATCTGTAGGTACATTGCACCTACTAATTAATGTTATTTGTATTATAATAGTTAGAAACCTTGATTTCTCACGGAGTTTAGTTTCCGTCTCGACGTCAGTTTGTAGTTTTTAACAGACCGGTAGTTTTTACCATAATTAATTTTTTTTTGGTAATTGTATACCTCATTAACACCATGGGAGACGCATATGATATCAGTGGAAAGTTTTCTTTCACCATTTAAATGCTAATTCGTTTAGTTCTTTTATGTAAATAACTTTCATTTACAAAGTAAGCGTGACAAAGTAAGCGAATAAGCTTATCTAGCAAGTAATATTATTAGATTTTTTCTCTGAGTCTTCCTAATATGTTGCTGACCTTGGTGCCTCTTCTACGTAGGAGTCTATGCACTTGATCTCAACACTCGGCAGGTGGTATGGATATCGTAGTGCAAAATGAAGCATTGCTACATGGTGGCTTACTATTGAATCCAATTCCGATCGATCGATATTGACATTGTAAAATTTCGTACTCTTGAATTGCAACACTAGCGCCCATCGCATCCGTATTGCGTGGATATTGAATGAACTAAATGGTATTGATTTCGGCTTTATATTCCGTACTTTGAATGCTATTTTAACAGCTACGATAGGGGTTGTATAATTTTGACATTGAATAATTATTAAGATTTTATTGGATTGAAATTGCATTGACATTGAGATTGGTTTCAAGAGTAAGCACCCTGGTCTCTATCAAATGCAGGCTTTTACCAACGGGAAAAGTGCCGGCGGTGTTGCCACGTGACTTGTTTCTTTTATTTATAATTTATTTTAATTTTGTTGTAGCTGGCGTGTCTAATACGTGTCCCCACAGAGATAGCGAAACAGAGGAAACAAACATACGTCGGCACTAACTCCAAGAGTAGTATATCTATACTGTTACATGTGAGTATATACTTATTTTTATTATTTTTGACTGATTACCTCGCTATTTATGTCAGAGATCGAGTTTGTGAGAATAGTGTAGTATTTTGAAAGATTGGAATATACCTTATTGGATATTGGAATATACTACACCTTGGAATGAGCAAATAGCTTCACTTTACATTTTTTTTTGTAGAAGTTCAAAAGTGTCTTCCTTGGCTAATTGAAATAAACGATTTTGACTTTGATTTTGACTTTGATTCTTCTATTTTTGCATGGCTTTTCATTAGTTCTTAGTGATATCAAACACTGAATATATTAGTCACCATTCAGATAGTGATTCATTTATTAACATCCCTGTATGTCTACAGCCTATAAATGCCCACTACTGACCAAAGCCTCTTCTCGCACGCAGTTGAGCACCACGCTTGCTTAATGCAGGTTGGCATTGAGTAGACATCCCTAAAGAGAACGGTAACTATAATGTTCTGTTCTTCTATTCCAGGCATACAGGACTGAAGGTTTCTTTCGCGGCGTGTATCGAGGTTTCGGCTCCACTGTGCTGCGGGACCTGCCCTTCAGCTTCATTGAGCTGCCAGCCTGGGAGATGCTGAAGACAACTGTTAGGAAATATAATAACGGCGAGATTAGCAGTTTTCAGGTTAGTTATTGTTAAATTGGTGTACATTTACAAAGTTCCGTACGTAATCATATCTTTTAATTGATGTCTAATTATAAAAAAAATATATATTGAAAATGTTGTTTCTTTGATTAATTGCAAGCGCGTATACGTCAATGGCATGTTGTATACAATTTTCCTTTTTAAACTGAGGTTAGCCCATTATTAATAATACATTTCGCCAAAAGTACACAAAGTAACGTTGTACAAATTCTTATGCAAACATTTTATTTATAGAGTGCAATCTGCGGGTCAATAGCAGGCGGTTTCGCAGCGGTCCTAACAACGCCTTTAGACCTCGCCAAAACCCGTATCATGTTATCAGACGGGTACAGGGTCTCGGGGAAGATGAAGATTAGACCAGTGCTGACTTCCATTTACATAGAATCAGGGTTCAAAGGTCTCTTCGCTGGAGCCATGCCCAGAATGACAGCTATTATGATCGGAGGCTTCGTGTTCTTCGGAGTATATGAAGACGTCAAGAAATATTGTGAAAAATATTTCGAAGGGAGATAGCATTTGGTGTTAATTTCGTAAGTAAATTTTGTTGTGGCTCGCTGCAAGCATATAGTGGTTTTGTAACCTGGGAAATAAAGTGACTGTTCAAATGGGAAGAAAGAGGTGTTTTTGACGTCAAAACACACCAAGACAATTTTGATGAAATTTGACACGCATGGACGAACTAGTCGTAAAAATAATGTAGGTTTATTCATAATTCCTTCCCGGCCGTATGCCAAGATTTTTGAGGTCTGCCCAATACATGATTTATCTTCTTTTTAAGGGCGCCTACCTATTGCATTGTAAAATATGTTAAAGTACAATTATGGTGCTTAATTATTCTAAGACTTGTCTGTATAATAATTCTGAAATGAGTCGAGATTTTTTATATCATTGTAAGTTTGGGTGCAATTTTTTTGAAAGAAATTGACAGTATTTATGGCGTGTTGAGTTATAAGTTATATTCTACATCACCAAAGGGCTTAGTACAAGTTTTACGTATAAAGTAATCGAAACAACGAGACCGTGTTCGGTGCTCTAATTAGTTCAATATAGCCTCAGTATGATGACCAAATAAATGTTATTTTACTAATAATGTTATATTAGTTTTTTTTCGAAATGTAAGGTTTTTAGTTGTTGTTTTTTAGTTTGGGTTATTAGTTCTTAATTTATATTATACCTCATTTAATTACTTTCGTTGGTATATGGTTGTAAAATCGAATAGTAGATAGTTGTGTATTTGATATACAATGTGTATATTTAATGTGGTTGAATTTGTTATGTAAATAGTTAGTTCTGTGATGTTTTAAATAAAATGTTGGCATTTAAGTTTTGTTTCTTTCTTGGTCCCACACTAATTATCCTGTGTCCTGGTTGTGTTTACAAACATACAAATTCACACATACAAAAACACATTACACAAGTTAGGTATATTTCTGCCACCGATGGAGGGTGCTAATGGAAACTATAATCATTTTGCTAAGTTTATTATAATTGAAATTACATGATAACACCTAAAATCTAACTAACCTAAGTGCGAATGAGTTCGATGTTGGAACGACACAGCTTTCTTATCTTAAAATTATTTCGTCAGAAGGTTTTCAATAAAACCTATTGCGGTTAAATCTAGTGGGGTCATTGATGATGTAGCGATTCGTAGCTGGGCACATGAGACGACTCAGCAGTTTGGAAGTTGCAATACTCCGTAGAACCTACCTTGCATCAAAGTAGGTGTAATGTCCTGACTCAGCAGACCTGGTCTTCGTGACACGGTGTAGGTACATGTGTCAGCACCGATAAGTAACACATATTGCACATAGACCCAGAACAACCATTTTTGAATTCTACAAAAAGTAGTACCGTGCGAGAATTGCACCCACAACCAAAGCGTTTCGCATTTCTCGTCAACGCGTCTCGCATTCTTATGAACAGGATTATTACTGAAAATAAATGAATGAAGTGAAGTTAAATAGGTACACAAATGAACCACCGTTACTGTCAAGCAGGTGCAGTAACAGAACGGTTATGTAACAAAAGTAAAGTTTATGTAGGACCTTGAGCTTTAAGGGTATAAGGTAGTATTAGCCGGTTATTTCCAATTTGGGTCGAAGTTTGATCATTAGATTTCCAACATTCGTACCTCGATGAGTTTTCGTGTCGTACGACTTAAATAATTATCACGACGTACACAATATCAAGGATTATTTTCTGACGAGATTATCAGTTACGGTATTTTATAAATGGGCTCACTCTACCTCCTGGTGACAATTTCTTAGTTTTCGACGTAATGCAAGATTTTTGAGGAGTCTCGGTCATAATTTGTACAGAATTAACATTTTTGTACCTAAAATATTTTTTTTATCTTGTTAAGTACTATTATAAGTTATTATCGACCTAACATATAAAATAAATGGCTGACACCGCAGCCCCGTTGCTTACGTGGATGCGTCACGTTTAGGTACCTAACATTACAAGTTTTATTTCATTTATTATAATGCTAATGACACATTTACTTTGGACCTCGTGGCGGACACACTAAAGCAGGAGTTCCCAACCAGGGGGGCATGCCCCCTTACGGGGCGTAATGGAATACCGGGAAGGGGGGGGGCGTAATCGGTACGTTTAATTTTCGGAAAAAGTACTTAAGCGCAATACACACTAAACCCGGCCGCCGACACAACACGTTGGCTTGTATGAAAAGAATCAAATCAAAGGCAAAAAGTTTCTCGGCTATCCGAAGCAATTAATGATCAAAAACTGGATAATGATTTGAAATTTAAAATAGAAACTCATCTACGCATTGGAAAACGAATTTCACCGGTACTATCGAGATGTTAATTCCGAGTCACCAATATGGCGCATGACCAGAAACCCATTTGTTGTCGAGGTCTCAGATTTGCCTGAAGATGTTCAGGAAGAATTTCTAGAAATGAAGGCTGACTCGACCATGAAAGATGACTTCCATCTCTTGACATTAGAGAAATTTTGGGTCAAACGATTTCTTGTTAATCCCAAAACTGCTTCACTTGCTTTAGGAATAATTATTCCATTTTCGACCACATATTTATGTGAGACAGGTTTTTCAGCTTTGGTTTTAATAAAAACTAAACAACGAAATCGTCTTGCCGTCGATAGTGATTTAACCATTGCTCTAGCAACGACTGAACCCAGAATCGACATACTGGTACAGAAGATGCAAGCTCAAGTATCTCATTAGTGTATTTTAATAATTAAAATAAAACTAGCATATTTACCTATGGTTTTCAAGTGTAGATACATATATCTTCTCTTATTAGATCCTTAAAACATGAATATCTACAGATACCTATATGGAACTCTTTGTTTTTAATTTTGCTCAAATAAATAATATATGTAGTTATAAAAAATGTGTGTTTTTAATGTATTTTAAACTTAAGGGGGCATGAGAATATTATTTATGAATTGGGGAGGCTCAGTGAAATGAAGGTTGGGAAAACCTGCACTAAAGGGTTTTGTGATTTTGTTATTTTCTTATTATATTTCTGGACATTCTAAAAAGTGATTTTTTTAAGCGAGTCAGACTTACGATAACTGCATCCTGCTACTGGGGCCCATGAATATAAAAAAACATAACCTGGCGTTAAGTCCGCCATCGTATGTAATTATACAGACGTGTAAATAAATAAATAAGATTTGCCTTTAAATAAACCTTTATTGTTCAAAAGTAACCACAACAATTTTATACATTTTACCTTATACAAGTATTATACAGTTGATATACACGTTTAAATCTACAATATACAAAATATCTAAAGGGAAATCAAATTAAAATTTTAAATTGTTACAATCAATCTAAAATTTTATTTTTTGGACGCGATCAATGTTAGTAGAAAATCAAATTAAATACTTTAAAATCGATCACATCCAAAATGTTAGAAGTTAATATATTAATTAGATTTTTATTTCATTGTTTATATATAAACTAAAATACTGTAATTACACGTATAGCTAAATTAATTGTGACGCATATTTACTAGTTTATTCAATATACATAATGTTATATGTTAATTTCATTATAATTTTACAATCAGCCGCCGGTTTATGAAAACAGTAGGCATTAGGTACTGTCGACAGAGTCGGACTTGGTTGAAGGGGCCCGGGTGGACAACGGTTCAGGGGCCCCAACATAATTAAAGTAGTAGAAGAAATATAATTTTATTCTTTGACATTTGACTTGTGATCTACAGTCAAGCCGGTTGGGTCCCTGGTTACGTTGGGGGCCCAGCAAGCTATTGCCACCCGAACTACATTACCAGTCAACCCGTCGACGAAATTCCGTAGTTGATTACTTTTCAATTTCAAATTGAAAATTTGTCAACAATAGTGTAAGTACCATTTTAAAATAATCGATTTTAGAAGGAGAAAGGAAGTCGTTTTTGTTCAAAATGTCGACGTTTTTGTACAACTGCGCACGTCTTTTAGTGGTCTAAAGATGTGACAGTTATTTAGGGACTGTGTTGCAATAGATAAAATATTATAATAATGTTTATAATCAGTTTTTTCTTTTTTATCTGTAAAATATATATTTTTAACAATATTACAAAGACATTCGAGTACGGAAATGTATACAGGCGTCAATCAATATAAAGGACGTAGAAAAACTACATACTTACAGAATGTAAAAAATATAACACAATTTCTTGTGAAGGAAAATAATTAAACAAGAAAGAAATAAGTAATAAATAAGATAGGCAAAACGTATAAAAATCGCTGAAGAACTATAAATATACATATCATATAGGTACTAGATTCATAGATTGTTATTAAAACCTTAATAAACTTGATTTAAATTTATAAATAAAACAGATATTTTAATTTACCAAGTTGAGACTTATACAAAAATACTTTGGAGTTTCATAGCCGATATAAAGTTCCCATACCTAACTATTTATTTAGGAACCTAAATATAATAGTAGCAAATGTTGCCGCGCCCAAACTTAAATAAATCTCCTCAGACACGCTAAGATCTATAAAGTAGTACAGACGATTGATAAGAGATGGCGTTGGTATTAAAACTTATTTACTTATTAACAAAATCGTTTTCGTCTTAATAAATACAGATGGCGTTACTGATTATTAAAGATAAACCTTTGATATTTTGTGACTTGATGGTCAACATATTACTTTTACTTGATTTTTGGACCAGCTTAAACCAGAAGTTATTTCTTTGTTTTAAGTACATATTTCTAAATAAAATTAATTTATTATTTAGCAATATTTTTGCAAAACATCCAAAAGATGGCGTAAGTATAAGACCGCAACAATAATACAGGAAAACATTCATAGATGGCGGTGTTTACAAAATTAGTTCTTTTTATGAGGCCTATGTTTTTATCTGAAAATAATATTGCTGGTGTGTGAACCGCGATGTGAGCTGTTGTCCCTGGTGGTGTGACGTCGGAATGGGTTCCAAGATGGCGCGCGACGTGCTGAAGATCTTGCAGTCACTGCTGTGGAACCACTCGACGCTGTTGATGCTGCAGACACCGACCCTTGGTTTGAGTTCGACTGTCGAGGGGTTTCTGGTGATGCCTGGAAATTAAGAAGACGATCATGTATCATTTTGGTAAAAATAAGATAGTTATCGATATTTATAAATATTTTTTATTTCAGCATTGCTAATGATCGCATTGCTAAGTTCGACAAAATATAGTGTAAATTTGGTGAGTTAAACAGTAATTTATTACTATTCTAAAATAAAAAAAAGGATTATAGAAAATATTAAAGCTCAGGTTTTCAATAGCTTAGGTAGGGTATCCAAAACTAGCAAGCAGCTCTTAACATACCTTAAGACAGCTCTTATCCATCGGTGTAGCCAGCTTCATAGTGAGCGTATCTCCTGCCTCCTGTATAAGTCTGACCACTTCATCATGAGAGCTCCATTTCACATCAATATCGCCAATTGATATTATAAAGTCTCCTTCACGCATACCACCGATCTGAAAATAACAATGGTAAATTTTTACTTAGTTTTTGTAGCTACACAATGCTTTTTTCAGTATTCTGCTGTTGTGTTTATTCTGATAAGCATTTCAATCATTTCTATATTGTATTATATGACATTTTAGTTGGTCTAATGTTTAGTAATACTTACATCAGCCAAAGAATTGGGCTCGACTCCAGCTATAACAACAGGCGCGTCTCCTCTCACAGAGAATCCAAAGCCTTCATCTTCGTTTTTCGCGTTCGACACGTTGTATTCACTCGCTGCCCTTCTCAACGGATCCTTTCGCCTTCCATTCTTCACTTTACCATTACATTCTTTCACTCCATTCTCAAGCTTTCCTTCCTTAGTCTTATATTCATTCTGTGTATCATAGTCCAAAACTTTTGGATGATATTCATAATTATTATTGTTGTAACTATTTATATACACTCCATTCTGTTTTGTGACCCTGTGTAGTTTCTTCTTTTCGTACTCATTAGAATATTTCTCATCGCTTCTAATTATTTGGTTATAATAAGTGCTGTTATCTTCCGATCTGTCTCGTTTCTCGCTCCTGTGTTTGCCGTTTCTTGTTTCTTCATATTCTTCAGTGTTTCCATTTCGTGGTCTTTCTATGCGTCGGGAGCCATCTCTATATTTTTGTAGTTGGACGAGGCGTGGGGCACTCCAGTGACGTTTGGCGGAGAATATGGCGATTGGACCCAAAGATTTGAATAGATCATCTACTCGGTGCTGAGCGAAGTCTGGTTGCGTTAGGGCCAGTTGGAATTTTGATGATGCTGTGGATAAAAATATTTATTATTATACGAATGCTGCTTTTTTTTCAAGTAATTAGATTATTAAGCTTAAGTGATCGTTGAGGCACACTCATAGTAAGTTATAGAAACTCACGCTGTACGTTGGGCACGTCGATGAGGTCTGTGAAGTCATTGGCATCATTGTCGTTGTGCGCGCCCCCTGCACGCTCCCGCGCGGCGCGCTCTAACTGCGCTCGTACTACTAAGGAGATTGCCTCCTTGCCACGTAACTCACTAGGGGAAACAACATAATTTTATTATCTACCTATTAAAACTATCCTTTAACACCTAGCAATCGCATAAAGATCATGAGTTGGGGAGTTCAATGATATAGCTGAGATAGGAACTTTTTAGTTATTCAACAATTGTATAAGAGTTGCTTTACTACTTTACAACTTACCGACACATCCTTTGCAGCCTGAGGGCTTCTTCATACAAAGTGAGTGCTTCTGCAAGATGTGCGCGGCCTAATGCAATCCAATCCACATCAGCGTCCTTCAGCGTCGGAGATGTAGAAGAGCCTAAAATAGTGATAATTGTTGTTTATTATGATTAGAACCAAATACAATTACTTATTTCCAGAAAAAAAGATTTAACAATAAAAATTAAATGTGAATTCCTTTAATCGAATTCACAAAATAGGCTGCGTTAACTTTTTTATTCATTAGATAATATTTTTAATTTCTATAATATAAGTATTTGTGCAAAAGATAATTCAAAAGGTTTCATTTTTGCAACTTACCATTATCGAGATGTGTATCAGCATCGTAGAGCGATGCGAGGCGGCTGGGGGAGCGAGACGATGCTGGCATGTTCAGGAGACCTGTCGCACAGTACTGGTGCGCCAACGCTAGAATACATAATTGCATTTAAATGTAATTTAAATATAACAAAGTTCTCACTATTGTTTCCAAAGACTAGGTTTATAATATTTTTATTTTTATTGTAAATTTGTACATACCTTTATAAAACTCAGTCTTAACGTGGACTAAAGAGACCCACGAGTATGGCACGTAGTTGAACACACCCTCTGATTGCATCTGTTGACAAGTTAATATGACACGTTAGACATATTTATAGAATATACAGTATGATGTACCTATAGTTATTCGGGATTTTAAATTCCTATAGAGTTGAGTTGTAACAAAACTAGGTGTTTGCAGGAGTAGGCCGCACCTTGTCGTAGAGCTGGCGGTAGGTGTGCGCGAGGTGCGCGGCCTCGTGCGCGAGGTCGAGGCACAGGTCGGGCGCGCGCCGCGCCTCGGGGCACGCCTCGCTCGCCTGCAGCTGCAGCTTCTCGAACAGGCACTCGCGGGCTTGCGCCTGCAGACAAATACTATTATTACCACCCCCATGGTCAAACTAAAAGGCGTCCACTACTCTAGTCAGAAAGTCGAATTTCGTACAAGAATAAGTTGGTAAGAACAGACAGCAGCTGAACCATAAATAAATGCTGATACTTAGTGAATCCGGTTAACTTAGGAGACATTTCTAACTAAATAGTAATGAGACAGAAACAGTCTAAATAAAGGTGGTCATACCGTCATGAGCGCGGCGAGTACAAGTAGTGTGTCGGCGGCGAGGTCGACGGAGGGCGCGTTGGTGAAGTTGTCCAACACGTAGCGCAGTGCTCCCGCCGCACGGAGCCACGCCTCCACACCACCGTCCAGACCCGAGCACGTCGAACGGTCCTGGGAATAATAGTCAAAATTAAATTATGTCATTATAAGCCCGTTTCGTAATAAAAATATAATAAAAAGTAATAAGAAGAAAATGTTGATATTGTCTTACCTGTTTAGCTCCTAGTTGAGTGTAGATGCCAGCTATGTTGAACAAGACACAAGCTTTCTCGAAAGCCACTGTTCGCTGGCATGACGGGACTCCTGGAAAATAAAAAAAAAATACAATAAAGTATTGAATCTTTTGAAATCTTATTAAACTCTATTCTCTTTCATGAAAGAGAAACATTTCTTACGGTTAAGTAAGTATACAAAAGTAACGCCATCTCGTTTTGAATTCCATGAACAATTTATTATAAACCGCCATCTATTGATGCTAAGAATGAAATGTTTTGTATTTAATCACTAGATGGCGTTGAACTAACCTATCAGTTAATTTACTTTCAAACTAACATTGCAGGACAGCATTACACTAATGTAGTATATTAATTAAATACCTGTTAACGAATCGAACCACTCAAAGTAGACGCCAAGCGAGCGGTCTGGCGGGAAAAACCGTCGCTCGATGAAATACAGCTGGTTGTAGTACTTGAACAGCAGAGCGACGCCCGCACTTGATCTGACTGGGGTGCGCATCGCCTGCGGATAACATGAACAGCTTGATTAATAACAGAAATAGAACACATTAATTATTTTATAATAATTAATTAAATGCAACTAAACCAAGATGAGAAAAAATATTGCATTAGTATATTCATGTAATTGCACTTGAACTGAACCAGAAGTGCCCGAGAGGTAACTGTGGAAACCCGTGGCTGAGAAACGTGGGAAATAAGAAGTTTCATCTGCATAAAGAAATTTCAGTCAAGCCCCCTTTTCAAATTCGTTTGGTCCCATATGGGTGCTTAGTCTTAAAACCAATCTCAATGTCAATGCAATTTCAATCTAATAAAATCTCAATAATTATTCAATGTCAAAACTATACAACCCTTATCGTACAATAGCATTCAGAGTACGGAATGTAAAGCCAAACTCAATACCATTTAGTTTATTAAATATCCACGCAATACGGATGCAATGGGCGCTAGTGTCGCAATTCAAGAGTACGAAATTTCACAATACCAATGTCGCTCGATCAGAATTGGATCCAAGAGTAAGCCCCCTGATAATTCAACACGACTTGCACAGGACGTATTTCTCATCGCAATCGCCCACACTAACTTTCCCTTACATTAACAAACAAGTCCTCATATCTCACCTGTCTCATATCCATGAAGTCGGAGATAGCATCTTCATAAGCTGCCGCGTCTTCACTGTAGTGCTCCAGTATGAAGTCCTTAAACGGCTCCCTGAAGTCCACCTCCTTCGTCTCCTTGAGCCCCAACGGGATCATCGGCATGACGCATTCTTTACCGCTGTTGACAATAGTGGGAAGTTTTAGTAACTATCATTATAAACTTCAATACAGAAGCTAGTCATTAAAGCTTTTACAGAACAATTTTTGAATAACGTATGGGTACGTAGTTTTAACGGTCATTGTAATAGCGGTCTCACTTGATAAAAATATTGCATTCAAACCATTATCTAACTGACTCAGAAAGAAAGCTAGAACATACTCTTGCGAGTAAGTGAAGGTAATCATACGTTAGCTCTAAATATTACTATTATTGGAAGAAAATTATTGCCCACGGCAGTTAACAGTTGTTTCACTTGAATCATTGGCTTATTTTACGTTCGACGGTCCCATTTAACATTATAACAATCTTACTTTTACAGACAGACCGGCAAAAGTATTATTAAAATAAAAAATACTATAATTACTAAAGAAATACAG